TATCTCTGCAAGGTATTTGTGAGCAGACTTTGACGCTTGCTGTAGTGAGGTCCGAGAGCCTATTTCATCCCCAGATTCGACTGCATCTTTATCTATGTTGGTTCCCATCTTGTCATTACCCGCCTCTATCTCTGTTTTTTCTTCGTTGTCCTGTACCTCCTCCTCGATAAGTTCCCCATCTTCTGTTTCCTTTTCCTCCTCTATTTTTGAAATCTCTTTAACTGCTTCTTCAGTTTCACTTGTATCCGCGACCTAATTTCCATCAACCTCAAGCATCGAGAATCTAGAGGGTGTTGAGGTAAGAGGTTCTTGACTTGAATGTTCTTTTGGTTTTCCTACCTTATTTGGTGAAACCTCAGTCCAGAGCATCCCAACCTCACTGTCTTTCCTTTCTACTACATTCCCAACTTGCTCCTTTCCTACCACTTCCTGTTGAGCCAAATTTTTGGATATATCAGCCTCGTCGCCTACGTGAAGTTTCGACTGTGGGGCTTGTGCTAAAACCAGAGGTTGTGACTCTATGTGTAACGCCCGTGAACCAAAAATGTGATTTTTGGTTGCGTGTCGATTGACACGTGTGTTTAATTCGCGAAGGAATCTGTTTGCTGGAGCTGTGTCGCGCGACACAATAGGTTTGTGTCAAGCGACACATGCTTAAATTGGACCNTGTGGTTTTGATTTCTGATCGGGTTTGGTTGGGTTGGTTTAGGGAACCTAGGGTTCCGTATTTAAGCAAGAGAAATTCTCTTGGGGTTGGCCGAAAAATTGATCAGAAGAAGAGTTTTAGAGAGTTTTGTGAGAGAAGTGTTTTTCTTGAGAGAGAAACAGTTCTGCTCGGGTTTTTGGAGGAACAGAGAGAGAAACAGATCGGATCGGATCAGAGTGAAACTTTGAGGGTAAGTTCTCCATCTTTTCTCTTGATGTGGGTGAAAACCGCGTGCCTTTTGGATGAGTATTCGCTGAGTTATGGCCGTTGGATTGTGTGAGGTTTCTGCAGTCTCGAGTCTGCGATCAGTCTACTTCGAGGGAGGATTTCCGTCGAACCAGAGAGAATCAGGAGACGATCCTTATGCCGTTGGAAAGCTCTCTCTGTCTAGTTTTTGTATTAGGTTTCGGATCCTGATTTGGAGGTAATCTCCGTTCTCTGTGTTCGTTTGATTTCAGGGTGTTGTTTCTGAAATCTCTGTTTTTCCAGTTTCGATTAGCGAGATTGCGGGCTGTTTTCCCATCGATCTGTTTGGAGTTAGAAGACGTTCTATACACCGTTGCGAATCTCTTGGTATCTAGTTTCCAGATCAGGTTTCATACCTTGATTTGGTAAAGAGAGTCGCGAGTTATTCCCTTCTGTTCGGGTCGTGTCGGGAGTGCCTTGTTTCCTCGTTTCAATCC